ATGGATCAGGTATGGACCAGGTATGGACCAGGTATGGACCAGGTATGGACCAGGTATAAACCAGGTATGTATGGACCAGGTATGGACCAGGTATGGGCCACGTATGGGCCAGGTATGGACCAGGTATGGACCAGGTATGGACCAGGTATGGACCAGGTATGTATGGACCGGGTATGGGCCAGGTATGGACCAGGTATGGACCAGTTATGGACCAGGTATGGACCAGGTATGGGCCAGGTATGGGCCAGGTATGGACCAGGTATGGACCAGGTATGGACCAGGTATTGGCCAGGTATGGACCAGGTATTGGCCAGGTATGGTTCAGGTATGGACCAGGTATGGGTCAGGTGGGTCACCTCATGACAGACAGGTGTTTCAGCGCATCTCAGCACCAATTCATGCGCCTCACTCTACTGGCTGTCTTCTCTTTCTCACGAATCTCCTCGCAGCGGCCTTCTTGCCCCTCCTAGTGCTGCCTCCCCCATTTCCCCATCCCCTCTGCTCCCATCCCCCCTCGCTGCTCTACCCCCCCAACCCACCCACCCACACCCCCCCCCCTCCCCCTGTAGCGCAAGGTGGTGTGGCACTACCTGCGCACGTGGTTTGCGTTGGACCTGCTGTCCTCGCTGCCCTTCGACCTCCTCACCTCGCTCGCCTCCGACTCCCCCGCCGGCTTCTGGCTCTCCGCTGTCAGTGCGCCCCCCCCCCCCATGCACATGCCCCCCCCGCCATGCCTGAACCAATGCGCACACCCGTGCACCTGTGCACATGAGTACCACCCATGCCCAGACCGAGTCATGCTTATATGCTGCCGCCCCCACCCCCCTTCCTGCGTGCGTCCATGCGTCCCCTGCCCCTGCCCCTGCCCCTGCCCCTGCCCCTGCCGCGGGCGCCAGGCGTTCCGGCTGCTGAAGCTGTTCCGCGTGCACCGCCTGGGCGTGGCGGCCAAGCAGCTCAGGCACGCGGCCACCAACACCAACTATATGGACGTCGCCATCCTCATGTTCCAGGTCGCTTAAAGCCATCCTCATGTTCCAGGTCGCTTAAATCCATCCTCATGTTCCAGGTCTCTTAAAGCCATCCTCATGTTCCAGGTCACATGCCATCCTCATGTTCTAGGTCTGCTGCTTTGACATGTCATGTTTGCTTAGATTCAAGAAAGGCGCAGCCGCTGCTTTGGCTACTCCGCTGCCTCGCTTGCCTCCACTATGTGACACTCATCCTGCTGTGCCCTCCTCTCCCTCTCCTCCCCATTGCTGCGCCTCAGATCTGCATGCTCTGCCACATAGGCGCCTGCATCTTTGTGCTCATTGGCCGCTTGGAGGAGCCGCCCGAGACATGGCTGGCCATAACTTATTGGAGCACGGATGGCGCATCGCAGACCCTGGAGACAGCACCTCCCGGAGTGGTCTACGTGGCAGCTATTTATTGGTCCATGGTCACGTTCGCGGGGGTGCGTGCGTGCCGCCACATCCTTCCTTGCAGCTTCTTGGAAGCCAACCCACCTTAATGGCGTACTTAACTCCCTGCTCAGCCTCTGCTGGATCTCTAATCCGGATGCCACATGCCCCCCCATGCCCCCCCTTCCCTCCCTTGCTCCCCCCCTCCCCAGGTGGGGTACGGCGACATCCACCCGGTGGACACGGTGGCGGAGCGGCTGTTCGCGACGGTGTACATCCTGGTGACGGCCGTCATGCTGGGGTACACCATCGGCGAGCTCTCCTCCATGGTCTACGCGCACCGTGTCAACCGCGACGCCATGCGCCAGCGCATGTGCACCCTGCACAGGTGGGGGCATGCGCACACTGCATTGGTGGGGGGCCGCTTGCTCTCCGCCTCTCTCTGCCGCCGTGTGCCTGGGCGCCGTGTGTGCGTTCTGCCATCATCGCTGCCCATCTGCCCCACCGTGCTGCCCCACATCGGCTGACCTCTGCATCCTCCCGCCCCCTGTGTCCTGTGCGCCACGTGCATGCGTGCAGGTTCATCGAGAAGGAGCACCTCCCGGAGTGGCTCGCCAACCGCATGGTGCGCTGCTCTGTCCGCACCGCGCTGTCCCACCTTGAAGCACAGCGTCTGAGGGGTTGTCGTGCCGCGCTGTCCCACCTTGAAGCACAGCGTCTGAGGGGTTGTCGTGCCGCGCTGTCCCACCTTGAAGCACAGCGTCTGAGGGGTTGTCGTGCCGCGCTGTCCCACCTTGAAGCACAGCGTCTGAGGGGTTGTCGTGCCGCGCTGTCCCACCTTGAAGCACAGCGTCTGAGGGGTTGTCGTGCCGCGCTGTCCCACCTTGAAGCACAGCGTCTGAGGGGTTGTCGTGCCGCGCTGTCCCACCTTGAAGCACAGCGTCTGAGGGGTTGTCGTGCCGCGCTGTCCCACCTTGAAGCACAGCGTCTGAGGGGTTGTCGTGCCGCGCTGTCCCACCTTGAAGCACAGCGTCTGAGGGGTTGTCGTGCCGCGCTGTCCCACCTTGAAGCACAGCGTCTGAGGGGTTGTCGTGCCGCGCTGTGTCATGCTGTCAACTGCTTGCTCCATCCCCGTGCCATCGTCCGTTTGCTCCGTATGGTGCCTTACTCGTTCCCCGTGTCTCTGCCATCCTGTGCGCGCTCCAGATGGCGTATCTGATGCGGCAGTGGCAGGCAGACGTCAACAGCAAGTTCGAGGAGCTCGAGCTCATGCAGAGCCTCAGCGTGAGTCACTTGCTATTTCACTCCATCTCTTTTGAACGTTTTCTGGTTAGTCTTTCTTCCCTTGCTGCCGTGCACCCTCACTCCTCACTCCTCACTCCTCACTCCTCACTCCTCACTCCTCACTCCTCACTCTTCACTCCTCACTCTCCCCGCACCCACCTCAAGCCCCCCTCTCTGTGTCTCTGCGCGTGTGTGCGTGCTGGCAGGACGACCTGCGCACGGACCTCTTTGTGCACTGGTGGATGCACCACGTGCCTTCCAGGTCACCACCACCCTTGCTTCCTCCGCCGCCTTGCCCCATCTTGCTCTTGCTGCTCGCTTTCTCCCTCCATCTGCACTCTCAGCTCTCGCTCCCCTTGGTCACGCATCTTCTTACCCTTGCATCCAACTCCCCCACCCTCTCCCCATCCTCCAACTTTCCCCTCTCCCCGTACACGCTCTCCCCCACTCTTCTCCCTCCCTCGACACCCCGGCAGCCCCTTTTTCCCGCATGACCAGCAGTGCCTTGCATGTCTGCAGCGCGTGCTGGTGCCACGGGGCGTGGCAGCGGGGGACGTGATAGCGCGCGAGGGCGAGGTGAGCCGGCACGTGTACATCGTGCGCGCGGGCAGTGTGGAGATGGCGTGGGCCAAGGAGGGCGTGGAGGGGCTGGTGGAGGGCGCTGCGGCGCAGGCAGGCAAGCCCATGGTATGGTGGGGCTGGGGGGGGGGGTGCAGGGGGCAGGGCGTAGGATGCAAGGGATACGCAGGCTGAGAGAGGGAGCATTCCTACATGGTCATCCCCTTCGTTGTTTCGTTCTCTGCAGATACCTTCCCCCCTTGCGTTGGTGGCATGTGGATAGCACCTCAGCATGGTCGGCAGGTCTGTGAATCACAACCTGCCGCCTCTGCCTTGTTCCCCGTGCTCCCCTGGCGCCACCCAGCTGGGCGAGGAGGGCATGCGCCTGGCGCGCGCGGTGTCCATGCGGCGCTGCGCGTCGCGCGCGCTCCACCGCCCCACCAGCAGGTCGTCCCATGCCAGCCCCATGGCTCTGCCGCACTGCCCCATGCCTTCCAATGGTGCCTCGCCGACGCCCGTGCATTGCACGCACGGCACAGATGGTGGTGGTTACTCGCATGGCAGGGATGGCACGGCTGCTGGGCCCCGTGCATGTGACTTGGAGCATGGTGATCGTGGTGATGAGTCACCCACTTCTCTGTGCTCGCCTCGTGTGCGCTGCTCTCGCACCTTCGAGCCCACGCTGAGCGCCATCGAGAGTATGGATGGAAGCAGCGTGCATTGGAGTGGCAGGGAGCGCAACAGAGTGGTGGATGGGGGAACGGGGGGCGCTGCTGTGCTGCCTGGCGATGGCACTGAGCTGCTGCGAGAGGGCGCACCAGAGGGCAGCGCCGATGCCACAGGGGGGGGGCCTGCGACTGGCATGGTGCCAAGGAACCACAGCACAGCGGAGGGCGATGCCAATGCCGCAGGGGGGGGCGCTATGGTGCCAAGGAACCACAGCACAGCGGCATCGCACAACAGCTATGGCAGCTCGGGCGTGCGGCACGGCGGCCACGTGGGGGGGCAGGCGGCGTTTGAGAGCAGGACGGTGGGCGTGGGCCATGTGGTGGGGCTGGACGGGCTGACTGAGGTGCTCGAGCTGCAGACCGCCGAACCCTCGTGGCCCGACCAGCGAGTTCCATTCCTCTTCATGGAAGGAACCTTCCAGGTATGTGCCTGGTTTGGTTGCTTCATTGCTTGAGGTTGACAATGCCTGCAGTTTTCAAAAGGTGCATCGGTCACACTGGCTTGCTTTGCTGACCTTGGGTGCTGGGAGGGGTGGGTGTGCGAGCAGGCGAAGACGGAGTGCGAGCTGCTGCTGCTGCTCATTGACGACCTCTTCGACACGCTGGAGAGCTTTCCCGAGCTGCTAACGGCGCTGCGCTTGAGTCTGGGCCTGCCGCTGACGGAGCAGGAGCAGCTGGTGCGCTACCGCAAGGCCCTCAGCGTGCGACGAGCGAGCAACCCGTCTGTGCAGCAGTCCAGGCACATCCACAAGTAGAGACGTCCAAACGGGAGGGGCACGTGTCAAAGATGCAACGTAGTGAAATTATTCTTTATTTATGCTAGTGTAAGCAGCATCTAGGTAGCATAGCATTAGCTTATATTTCTGTAAATACATAGGAAGTTCGTTATTGGTCAATTGGCAAAACCCTCCCTTCATGGCCCTAAAGTCGAAATCGAGGCGGCGGTTGACGATTTTGTGAGGTTGCTCATGCTTGACCTTTTCCACGCCTGTCGTTCAACCATCGACATTGAGCTGCTATGTCGTACGGCGTGGATGGGATGGGATGGGGCGCTCCTGCCACCTGCCACAAGTTCAGAACGGCCCGCCACATTATTCTCCTGCAAAGCTAGGTAACGTATTAACCTGTGGTAGTACCAACAGTCGTCGTCAGTCGCGCGGGTGGAGCTGAAGCACGGCAGGGCAGCGCCGTTAGGGCTCACGAGTATTCGAAGCGGGCGCACTGAGCGGGCGGTGTAGCCCGCGACCCGCGGCGATGGTGACATCAGTGCCGGCGTCGATGCTCATAGCCGAGGTCGCGTCGCACTCGCACGCGCACACCAACTCGCATCCCCTCCCTCGCGCGCCCTCCCGCAGCACGCGGCCATGGCACGCCGCGCTGCCGCACTCCAAGTCGGCCCACGACGACGCCACCGCCGCCCACGCGGCGGAGCGCCGCCAGTCGCGCCTCGACTTCCAGACGGAGCGGCACGACTCGGCGTCGGAGCGGCGGCTGGAGGGCGAGTCGCTGAACCAGCGCATGCTGGACGGCCGCGGGGACGCCGCCGACCACTCGAGCGAGGCGCGCGTCAACGCGTCCGGCAGCTGCTCGTCGCCGTCGTCGCTCGACGCGCTCCCCGTGTCGCCCCTTCCCTTCGACGCGCTGCATCGCTCCGTGTCACGCGGGCGGGAGGGGCGGAGGGGGATGGTATGACCGGGGGATGGTTGGCGGGGAGAGAGGGGGAGGGGAAGTGGAACGGCTTCCGGGCGCGAAGGCGCTGTTTGGGCAGCGGGGGTGGGCGAGGCGGTGGCGGTCCGCCAAGGACCTGAGGGGCGCGGATGCGGACGACAGGGCAGGCGACGCGGGCTTGGGTGTCAGCCGCAGTGTGAGCCTCACCCTTGAGAATGGCGCGTCTCCTGCTGCCACGCCGCTGAAAGCACGCCAGCTGTTCCCATGGGCGAAAAAAAGCGCCTCGTCCAGCGCGCTAGTGCTGGGTCGTGGGGACGGCAGTAGCAGCCGCGGCAGCAGCAGCGGCAGCAGCAGCAGCAGGCGGCGGGTTGGGTTGAAGAAGGTGAAGGCGCGGGCGGCCTTGCAGGAGTACATGAACGCGCCCATGCCGCCCAGGCCCTCGCAGCGACGCGACAGCGAACCACCCGACGCGGATCGCATGGGCACGCGGCGGTGGTGGCAGCAACAGCCGTGCGTGGTGCTGTTCTGGTGGGCGGTGGCGGCGGCGCGGCACGTGCGCATCCCCATCATCCACCCGTACTCGCGCTTCAGACGAGACGTCAACCTCGTGGTGGGCGCGTGCATCGCGTACAACATAGTGAGTGGCGTGCATCGCATGCAATGCAACATGCCCATGCCCATGCCCATGCACATGCACATGCCCATGCCCATGCCCATGCCCATCCCCATGCCCATGCCCATGCCCATGCCCATGCCCATGCACATGCCCATGCCCATGCACATGCACATGCCCATGCCCATGCCCATGCCCATGCCCATCCCCATGCCCATGCCCATGCCCATGCCTATGCCCATGCCCATGCCCATGCCCATGCCCATGCCCATGCCCATGCCCATGCCCATCCCATGCCCATGCCCATGCCATGCCCATGCCCATGCCCATGCCCATGCCCATGCCCATCCCCACTCCCATGCCTATCCCCACGCCCTTGCCTGCCCCTGCCCTCCCCCCCCCCGCCCTGCGCAGTGGGAGGTGCTGTACATGGTGGCGTTCGACCTGCGCGCCACGGGCGTGTGGCTCATCCTCGACTCCTGCCTCTCTGTCGTCTACCTCGCCGACGTCCTCCTCGGCTTCAAAACCGGGTCCGCCTCCTGGGGTCGAGCGAGGTCGAGCGGGGGCTCTTGGGGGCGAGCGGGGGCTCTTGGGGCCGAGCTGGGCTGTTGGGGGCGAGCTAGGCACGATCAAAATCGGGTGGGGGGGTTGAAGAAGGGAGTGGGCCCGTGTTTCCTGGCAGCCCCAGCCCCTCCATGCCGCATGTGATGCGTCCATGCCGCATGTGATGCGTCCATGCCGCATTTGATGCGTCCATGCCGCATGTGATGCGTCCATGCCTGCTGTCTCCACCCCTCAATCGTCCGCCATCTCTTCTCTCTGTTCCCTCGTTCCCTCCATCTCTTCCTCTCTACCCCGCGCCCCTCGCTCTCTCTCCCCCCCGCGCCCCTCCCTCTCTCTCCCCCCGCGCCCGTCGCTCTCCCCCCCGCCCCCCCTTCCTTGCTGGCAGGTACCTGACGAGGGAGAAGCACATTGTGGCGGAGGGCGGCATCAAGGTGCTGCTGCCACAGCAGATCGTCATGGACCAGGTATGGGCCAGGTATGGAGCAGGTATGGGCCAGGTATGGACCAGGTATGGGCCAGGTATGGAACAGGTATGGGCCAGGTATGGGCCAGGTACGGACCAGGTATGGACCAGGTATGGAGCAGGCATGGGCGAGGTATGGAGCAGGTATGGATGCACCATCCATGTTTCCATCAAGTGGACAAGAAAGAGCCCCCATGTCTTCCTTCCTCTCTCCCCCCCCCCTGGCAGCGGCGCATCATCTGGCACTACCTGCGGTCGTGGTTCCTGGTGGACTTGCTCTCCTCGCTGCCCATCGACCTCATCACCTCCTCCCTCGCCCAGTCCAACGTCGGCTTCTGGCTCTCCGCCGTCAGTCCCCACCCCCCACCCCCCACACCCTCCAAGTGCCGCATGTCCGTCCCTTCCTCGCGCTCGCCCTTCTTGACTCTCCTCTCTCCCCCTCCTCCTTCCTTCTCTACCCAACCGCACCTCTGGGTTCTCTGCCCCCTCGCCCTCCCTTTCCCTACCCCCACCCCAAAACCCCCACCCCAAAACCCCCCACCCCAAAACCCCCCACCCCAAAACCCCCACCCCAAAACCCCCATCCCAAAACCCCCACCCCAAAACCCCCCTCCCCTGGCAGGCGCTACGGCTGCTGAAGTTGCTGCGGCTGCGGCGGCTGGGGCAGGCGACGCAGCAGCTGAGGCAGTCAGCGATAGCGGGGCTCTACATGGAGATGAGCATCCTGGTGCTGCAGGTGGGAGGGAGAGGAGCATCCTGGTGCTGCAGGTGGGAGGGAGATGAGCATCCTGGTGCTGCAGGTGGGAGGGAGATGAGCATCCTGGTGCTGCAGGTGGGATGGAGATGAGCATCCTGGTGCTGCAGGTGGGAGGGAGATGAGCATCCTGGTGCTGCAGGTGGGATGGAGATGAGCATCCTGGTGCTGCAGGTGGGAGGGAGATGAGCATCCTGGTGCTGCAGGTGGGAGGGCAGCAAGTGTGCTTCTCTCTTTCCAATCCTGGACTCATCTCGCCTTTCCCTCGTGCCCGGCCTGCCTTGTGCTCCGCACAATCCGCGCTCTGCTGCTCTCACCCGCCCCCCCGTCATGCCCTCCTCCCCTCTTCCCAGATCTGCATGGTGTGCCACGTGGGCGCGTGTGCGTTCGCCCTGATAGGTCGCCTGGAGTCGCCCCCTGAGTCGTGGCTGGCGGCGTTCTATTGGAGCAACGGGGGCAGCCAGGAGACGCTGGAGAGTGCGCCGCACGGCGTCGTGTACGCCGCCGCCTACTACTGGGCCATGGTCACCTTCGCCTCCGTCAGTGCCTCTCCCGCCCTCCCGCCCTCCCACAACCTGCCCTCCATCCTCTCGTTCCTCTTCGCGTCTTTATGCCCCTTTCCTCCTTTCCTCGTTGCGTGCACCGTGTTGTGCTGCGCTGCGCTGTGCTGTGCTGCGCTGTGCTGTGCTGCGCTGTGCTGTGTTGTGCTGCGCTGCGCTGTGCTGTGCTGTGCTGTGCTGTGCTGTGCTGTGCTGTGCTGTGCTGTGCTGTGCTGTGCTGTGCTGTGCTGTGCTGTGCTGTGCTGTGCTGTGCTGTGCTGTGCTGTGCTGTGCTGTGCTGTGCTGTGCTGTGCTGTGTTGTGTTGTGTTGTGTTGTGTTGTGCAGCCCTCTGAACCCATTGACTTAGCCATTTCATGCAACGTACGTTAACCCCACGCCCTCCATCCATCCCCACTCCGTGTCTCACTCCTCCCATCAACTTCCTCGTCTTCTCAAGTTTATCTCTCTCCCCCACCTCTGCCCCCCCAGGTGGGGTACGGCGACATCCACCCGGTGGACACCCTGGCGGAGCGCGTGTTTGCGACGGTGTACATCCTGGTGACGTCCATCCTGCTGGGCTACGCCATCGGCCAGATCTCCTCGCTCATCTACGCCAGCCGCGCGCACCGGGAGTCCGTGCGCCAGCGTTGCAACACTCTGCACAAGTGACGCCTCTCTGCTCTTCTTCCATTGCCCTCTTCTTCCCAAGCAAAGCCTCTCTGCACAAATAGTGCTTCTCTGCACAAGTAATGCCTCTCTGCTCTTCTTCCATTTCCCCTCGTCTTCCAACAACCCAGATGCATGCCTGCCAGTTTCTTGGCGCATGTTGACCGCCTCGTGCCCTGCTTGCCCCCTTAGCCCCCCTCCAATTACCATCGTAAGCTGCCCTCTCCTCCCCAACATCGCTGCCTCATCCTCGTCCTCTCCTCTGTCCGCCTGCTCCCCCCGCTGTCCCCTCACTGCTCCCCTGCTGCTGCCCTCGCTGCTCCCCCTGCTGCTCCCCCTGGCTGTGTTGCGAGCAGGTTCATCGAGAAGGAGGAGATTCCCGATTGGCTCGCCAACCGATTGGTATCGTGCTGCCCCTCCTTCCCCTGCTCTCCAACTCCTCTCTCTTTGCCCGTTGCACAATAAGTCTGCCGCTCTGTTTGCGCCTACACCCGCTGCCCCATCATTCCCTCACGGTCGCCATGCCTTCCTCATCTTCCAACTGTTTCTTTAAGGCCGCTGCTGCCGGCTACTCTCTCTCCCCCTTCCTCTTCCTCCCTTTCCAAACAACCCCCCCAGATGGTGAGCCTGACGGGCAAGTGGCAGTCGGAGCTGTCTCAGCGCTTCCACGAGGGTGATCTCGTCGACGCGCTCACTGTAAGCCAACCGCCCTCGCACTTCAAATAGGCTTCAGCCTCACAACTGTGGGCCTTCAATGTGTGTACCTGTGCTAGATACAGGCGCACTGGGCTAGTAGTGCGTCATCCATGCGGCCTCTCTTCCCCCTCTGTGCCCTCCCTCCCCCCTCTTCCCCCCCGCCCTTTCGTTCGCCCGCGGTCGCCAGGACGATCTGCGCGCCGATCTCTTTGTGCACTGGTGGCAGCGCCATGTGCTGCCCAGGTGAGCTTTGGTGGCGGCGCCCGTGCTGCCCAGGTGAGCTTTGGTGGCAGCGCCACGTGCCGCCCAGGTGAGCTGTAGGGCGCTGTGAGATGAGTCTCAAGAGTAAATTTGCCTGGTCTCATTGTTGTGTCAAATCAAGCAAGCATGCCCTCTTTCTCACCGTCCTTATTCCACCCACCCATCATTCCCCCCTCCCCTCAAACCCCCAGCCCCATATTCCCGCACAGCCCCTCGTTCCTGGCGCATGTGTTCCCGTGCCTGATCGTGCGCCGCGTGGCCCCCGCGGACGTGATAGCGAGCGAGGGCGAGTTCAGCCGCCACGTGTATGTGGTGCGCTCGGGCACCGTGGACGTCACGCGCATCGTGGATGGGCAGCCTGGCGCGCCGGGGGGCATCGACGCCGATGGAACTGGTGCCCTGCTGAGCTGGCGGGCCATGAGGCTGATGTGGAAGGGCGTGCGATGGAGATGGGTGCAGAGGAGGTGCAGCTACCAGCAGTAAGTCACGGCAGCAGCAGTAAGTCACGGCAGCAGCAGTAAGCTGTGGCAGCTGTAAGCCACAGCAGCAGTAAGCCATGGCAGCAGTAAGCCATGGCAGGAGTAAGCCATGGCAGCAGTAAGCCATGGCAGGAGTAAGCCATGGCAGCAGTAAGCCATGGCAGGAGTAAGCCATGGCAGCAGTAAGCCATGGCAACAATGTGCCATGGCAGCAGTAAGCCATGGCCGCAGTAAGCCATGGCAGCAGTACGCCATGGCAGCAGTAAGCCACAGCAGCAGTAAGCCATGGCAGTCTTCTTTTGATCGCGAGTTGCGTCCTCAAGTGGGCAAGCTGTGCCGTTCCGCGCCCACCAGTCCCACGATTTCCCCACCCGCACACACCCATCTCTAAGTGTGCCTGCTTCTTCTTCTTGCTGCTGCTTCTTCCTACTTCGTCTCTGCACCATCCCCCCAAACCTCTTCCATCCTCTCCCTTGCGTCCCCTTGTGTCTCTTCCCGGCCCCCTTCCTGTCCCACCCACCGCGCCAGTCGGTGGTGAGAGCGCTGCAGCAGCACGGGGGGACGCTGGGGGCGGAGCAGCATGTCCATTCCGGCAGCAGGAGTGCGAGGGGCGCTGGGCGGGGCAGTGGGAGGAGTGGGGGCAGCAGGGGGCCCGGGGGTGGGGTTCCTGCAGAAGCGCGCCATGCGGCGGTCGCTGGCGGTGCAGGACACGCTGCCGGTGGGGGTGGAGTACGACAAGGAGAGCGTGGGCGAGGGGTATGTGGCGGGGGGGGAGGGGCTCAAGGGGGCGCTGGAGATGCGCCGGGGGGAGGAGACGTGGAGCGGGCAGCGCGTGTCTGTGATCTGCATGGAGGCGTCCTTCCAGGTACCGTGCCGTGCCGTGCCGTGCCGTGCCGTAGAGTGCCGTGCCGGTTCTGCCTCACACTTGAGGGCGCACGCAGCTCTCAGTTCATCCGTTGCTCGCCGTGCGCCCACCGCACAGCACAGCCCTCACCACGTGCCCCCCCTTCCCCCCCCCCCCCCAAGCAGGCAAAGACGGAGTGCGAGGTGTACCTGCTGCTGGTGGACGACCTGTTTGACGCCCCTCGAGAGCTTCCCCGAGCTGCTCACCGCCATGCGCACGGAGCTGAGCCTGCCCCTGGCCCCCCACGAGCGCCTGTCGCGCCCGCGCAGCCTGCACAGCACGCGCAGCTTCCAGAGCCTGCGCAGCAAGAGCCGCGGCCGCCCCACGCCCTTCACGGCAGATGCCACCGCCAGCAAGACCCTCTCGTTTGGCAAAGGACGGGTCATGAGGATTGGAAGCCCAAGAGGTTGATGGAGGGTACACGCGCAACAGTGCGTGGATTTTCATTACCAGGGGTGAGGCTTCGTCATGTCAAGCAGCAGCGTTCAATTGCTTGTCTATATCGCTTGTGCCTTGGATCTTTTGTATGCTCGTTGTTCTGCACAGGTTTGAGAATGTATCAGAATCAGCCTGTCAAACTCTTGGCTATGGCATTTCCATCAGCGCCACAAGTCTCTGGCTCTGGCACAATATGCAGCATGCGCTCTCCCTGTCGTGCACAAGGTTCCATAAAAAGAGCACCTAGCACCAAATACCGCACTGAACCTCCCTCCACGCGTCACGACTTGGCAGCCGCAGCAGCAGGGGAGCCATATCGGGCCATGACTCGCCTCACAGCGGCAGCAGCAGCCTCGCTGGCTGCCAGCCCGCCTGCTGCCATCAGCGCTGCAAACTCCCGCCTGATCTCCGCGTGCACTGCCTCCTTGGCCCGAGCGTCTGCACTGCCTGCTGCTGCTGCTGATGACGCTGATGATGATGTCACTGCTGCTGCTGCTGCTGGCACTGCTGCTGTTGCTGACGCTGCAGGTGCTGCTGACGCTGGAGATGCTGCTGCTGGAGTTGCCGTTGCTGCTGCTGCGTGTGGCGCCTGTGCCTGCCCAGTCGCTCCACTCTGAGTGCCATCTGCATCACCTCGTGTCCCACGCACTACTGCTGCTCCTACTGCTTGCGGGGCCGTGATCGAATGCAAGGGGGGCTCTGGCGCAGTGGCCGTTGAGGCAGGGGTGGGCGGAGAGGTGGGCGGAGAGTGTAGCAGTTGCACGGGGGAGCTGTAGCTGAGGGACGCGCTGATGGGGGACGGCGCGGGGAAGGGCGGGTGAGGCGCGGCGCCGTACTTGAGAGTGGTCTCGAGCTGCTGGAGCAGGGGGGCTGCGGGGAGAGCAGTGCAAGCAAGCACGGACGGGTGCAGGGTGTGAGTGCAGCGGTCACCGCAGGCAGCAATGGTTTCACGGGACGCGGAGAGGACGAAACGCGAGGGAGCAAGCATGAGAGTGAAGCAGCATGGACGTACCCAGCAGGGAGCCCTGCGGGCTGCTGAGCACGCGGCGAGGCAGGTCGAGGATGCGGGAGGGGATGCCGCGGCCCAGCAGGAAGTGCGCGACGTCGTCGCTGAAGTGGTTGCAGTTGTGCGACAGCAGGCTGTACCGCTGCGGGCTGTACCTCGCGCTCACGTCCGCCAGGAACTGCTCGAACAGGTCACGCGGGACCTCCGTGGACCCCAGCCGGATCGCCTCCATGGGCGGTCCGAAGTACGTGCGACCGGGCACGCCGCGCTGGACGCCCGCGCCGAACCAGTACTCCGTGCCGTACGCCACCACGCCCGTGTGGTACACGGCATCTATCGCCGTCCCCAGGAGGGTCTGCGACAACTGACGCGCCAAGCCGTGCGAGAGATCGTAGACGTGAAGCACGACGGAATGACTGCTGGCCTGCGACACGGAGAAAGCACGTCGTGGCGAAGTCAGAAAAAGTGTAGACCTTCCCGAATTACAAGTCAGAGGGGCCAAATCGCGACGACCCACCTCGTCCATTCCTTGGTGTGCGGGATGTTAGCAGAAGGATCAGACGTTGAAACGCTAAACTCAGCACAGCGTAGTAGATAGCTAGCGCTGCGTCTAGGGGCAAGCCAAGAGTAGCGAAGCAATCAGAGAAAAGGAGCGAATGGGATGGAGACGCGGCACAGGCAACGTGAAGTGAAGGTCACGGCAGAGGGGAAATCCAGGGCGAGGCGACGACGGTGGAATGGGAGACACAGCGAACCTTGAAAGTTCCAGAGTCACCGAGAAGGCCTCGTACACCAATCAGAGAAAAGGAGCTTCCAGCCGTCGATTTCGCAAGCAAGGGGCTGACTCTCTACCCTGTGGCGAAGTGAGAATCGGGCCTTTTTCCTGTAACCCTAGATCGCGGTCCGTTCCAAACTGCTGCGTGTGTTTAAAGCCCGCATCTCATGTGGTACAATGGAAGCTAATGTACAGTGGTGGAAACAATTGTCCGTATGTATTGCATTAATTTGGGTTTTTAGGCTTTAAGACCACTATATATCAAGCCTTAATGTTTAATGGTGGTACGATTTGGGAGTTGCACATAGTGGATGTGTTCACATCAAAATATCCAGAATAGTACATTGGAACTCATCTCTCAAAAGATTTACTAAGGATACATCATTACAAATATCGTAAAAGCTTGGATATAAGACCCATATGTCTCCCCGTATGGGTCTTATATGCTTGGGTTAAGTTGCTGTAATGGGGCCGCTTTAAGCGGGGAAATGTGGATGTGGAGTGTCAGAGGGCTCGGCACCTAATGTCTCCCTTATAGAATTTGTTAATAAAAGGGAGGGTTGTGATTTCTACAATGGAAACTTGAGTGGATTTGTTGTTTTACACATTTCTTGAACCTCATGCATTACATTCATTGCCCCCTCCTACCAATGTGGCAGGAAAATAAGGGGGGAGGGGGGTATATTATCTCATACCGCTCCAAATCTGATCTTATAAATGAGAAATCCTAATACAAGATAGACGCCTGATACAAGACATCGTATCTTCTATTCCATGGAGGTCTTATATCTGGGCTTTTACGCTGGTTCCAAGCAGTGAGAGCAAACTTCAAAAGTGTGTTTCTAGTTTCTAGCCCACCGACCTTTGGCCTTGATCACCGCCCGCACCCTTCTAGACGAACTGTCGATGAGGCTAGAGCAAACCTCGGCATGGATCTTCTCCCATTTTTCCTGTATCACATCCCAAAGCTCGAGGATTCCAGAGGAAGGCCTTCTATGCTTGGCCAGCTCCCTTTTCAGGTAAGCCCAGAGGTTGAGGTTTGATGAGAAAGAAGGCCTACATACTTATGTTCTCCAAGTCATTCCTGCACTATGCATAACAAATTCTTGGGGTCATTGTCCGCACCGAAATGACATCAGAGGGGAAAATGCTATAGAAATGGAGGGTCAATTCGAGTTCGTCATGCAAAATGCCCTCACACAGGGGCCTCTCAATGCATCCGTCAATCTTGCATATGAACCCCACCCCCGCACATGTCACATATCCCCACACCATCACCAATCCTTATCCCCATGGTTTACCGTCTGTTTGATTTGGTGGTGCTGCAGGGTTGTGCCTTCACAAATCCAGCAAACATGCAGCCATTGGAGCTGAAGCACTTGATGTTGGGGATCATATGCTTTCGAACACTAATTATCCACTCAACATGCGACTCCATGAATTGCAGTCGGCCCCTGATATTTTTCCAGAACAGTCATGGCTTCTACGACTGCTGCACCGTTAATAGACCCACGGACCCTAGTGTGTTTTTAATAGTGCAAGAATGCACAGTCAACCGTGCAACGTTACCCTCGGTTTCACGGTGTCTACGCTAGATTTGGCCGCTCTATTCGTGATTTTACCCTACAATGGTACGACGAAGACGATCCGTGATAAGATGGGGCCGACCGGCTAATTGCATCTTTGGCCACACATCAACATGGCTAGTCTCAAAGATACCATTCAATCCAAAATCGTCCACAATACTCTTGCCTATGCCCATTTTTTCGTGATTTTCCTAGTGCTCACCCCCTTGTGCAAAATGGTGGGTCTAGGAAGAGTGCAAGAAGTTCTCTGCCGAGGTTTCTACTAACCTCGAAGGTAACATGCCTAGGAGGGTGCGGGTGGTGATAAAGGCCAAAGGTCTGTAGGCTATGTACTAGAAATGCAACTCTGAAGTTTGCTCTCTCTACTTGGAAATATTTGTCCGGATGCACTCTTCGTTTATCTTCTGGGATATCAGTTAGATCCAATGTACTATTCTGGATTTTTTTGCTATTAACACATCCACTATGTGCCCATCCCAAATCGTACCACCATCAAATAGTAAGGCTTAATGTATAGTGGTCTTAAAGCCTAAAAACCCAAATTATTGCAAAACATTTTACGGACAATAGTTTCCGCCACTGTAGGTCCCACCCACCCGCGCTTCCGCCCTAGCCTTCCCTTGCCTAGCTCGTCGCCTACCCTAGCCTAGCCGCACCGCCCTTAGAGCGCCCCCCCCCCCCCTCTCTCCAGGCCCCAGCTCGCCACCGCGCCAGGCCCTAGCTCGTCGCGCGCCCGGCCCCGGCTCGCCGACGTGCCAGGCCCCCGGCTCGACGCTGCGCCGGCCCTCAGCTCGAGGGCGCGCCGGCCCCCTGCTCGACCCCGCACCAGCCTCTGCTCGCCGCCGCCGCGCCGGCCCCTGCTCGGTGCCACCGCACCGGCCCCTGCTCGAAGCCACGCTGGCCCCTGCTCACAGACGCGCCGGTCATGGTTCCTCTACTGAGCCGGCGTCCTCGCCGGCCGTGCACGCTACCGCGCTCCACCGCTCTCCACCGCATTCCACCACACTCCACCGCACTCCATCGCCGTACACCGCCCTCCACCGCTCTCTATCGCACCCGCTTGCCCCTGGCTCCTCCTCTTGTATCCTTCAGCTACTGCAGCTCTGCTGTCGCGCGACCACTGTTGGTGAGATGCATATGCATCTGCTGACATGCGCGTGCGATGGCGGACGGCGTTCTCCACCTGGACGCAAAGGGTCGCCCGGTGGATTTCGAGGCATGGCTCACCGACCAGCACCGCCAGTTGAATAGTCAGCGCCAGGACGGCCAGTCTCTAGCCATCCACATTGATGGTAAGGTGCCCTGCCCTCCCACACATGCTACCCTCGCTGCCGCCGCCACACCTGTTGAGCGTGAGGTTTTCGCAACAGCTGAAAAAGCTCGCTCTGTCTGGGAGTCGTGTGACGTCACTCCGCAGCTAGCTATTAGTCACGCCCTTCCGCTGCCCGAGCGCCCCTGCTTTCAGGCCATAGATAATGCGAAGGAGGATCTATTGCTTACTATTCCACTCCCTCCTCCGCCTCTACTGGCCTTCTCCTCGTGCCCCTTCTCTTCCCTGACCTAGCTTCATTCCCCACTGTCGCTGATCTGGCCAACCACCAGCGAGCCCTGGAGTCTAGCTACCACACTGCTAGCACTGAGGCTCAGCTCACTGTCCTCCCCCCTCCCTTTCGCGCCACCCTTTATTTCCTAGCCACGCGCCTGTGACACCTTCCTTAGTACACACCCCGCAGACCACGGCC